TATATATATATATATATATATATATATATATATATGTATATATGTATTTATATGACTTTCATTCTTTTTTTAACCTACAGTACTTTGTATAAATGAGTTTCATATTTCCTTATATTTATCCACACAAAGTGTACAATCTATAGGCAATCCACTCATAGGTAGCAACTATAATCCGGTCTTCAATCCAGCAAAGCCACACATTTATCTTTCCAATGTTGCATTAACAGTCTTTTAGCTACAATAAGGGCATGGAGAATCCATTCATGTTGTTCAGTTGTCAAATTCCTTGAGCTAGGTATGTAATTTAAGATAACATTATCCTTGGAAAATCTTAGCTTTTGTTTGCACAGTCAACATTTATGTAGTCCTTTATTTTGTCCCCAAATTTAATGCTTTTAAAGAAGCATTGCCATTACTGCATACCAACAAAATGCTGTCCTACACAATCCTTTTCTATACAAACATAATGGAGTCCAATAAATTCTAAATATTATTTTTGGTTTTATAAGTTGTAAGCTGTGATCTATTGATATCCTAGGTATAGATGTTAAGACACAGTCTCATTGTCTAAGCAATATAGGAACCTCTAATTCTTTATTTCACTATTTTTTTTACCATTTGCATATCAAATTGATTTATTGATAACATCTATTGAAATGAATAGTTGGTTTCTTCAGTTTAAAAAGATTTAACCAATTGTTCTCATATCTCAGGTGTCTCAGAAGCTGAAAATGCTGCTGGTTCAAACAACGCTGTTAACAATGATTGTAGCCGTAAATATAGGTAAAGATTTGTCCTCATCATCTATCAATTGATCCAAAATCAATATTCCTACTTTCATCCAATTTTTCCATATCAGCATTTCCCCCCAATTTTTAACATTGAATTTCCCCATAAAGTCAGTTTAGCATGGGAAAAAGGATTGAATCATCTCCTATCAAAATTTGATGTTTTTTTCAATAGTTAGCTGCTTCTCTTATGGAACACTCATTTCTGTAGTCTTTGATTACTTTTCAAGGTAGAAAGTTGACTGTCCCAGATTTTTTTTTCTTAGGTCTTACCAGTTTTGTTTGCATACACAGCCTTCTTTGGCAGCTTGGCTAAAATGAAAAGGTTTAAATATATTGATTATCACACATATTGAATACTTATGCATAACACAACTTTTAGGTAAATGTAGGAAAATAAGAACATGCTTACCTATTTCTATTGACTTTTCTTTCTTGTCTGGTTCTAGAAAATAAGAGAAAGGTTTGAACTTGATTTCTGCATTCTGGTATTCAAAATAAACAGTGAATGATTCCATATTTAACAAAGAAGGAAGCAATACATTGAGGGCAATTAGAGACAGAATGTTTTAATTCCTCAATTAAACTTAAGGTAGAATTGAGGAGATTCCTCTGACTAGATACCTCACAGTTGGCAGAATGCAATTTATGATCTATTCATTTTTGTTGGGTTTTTTTTAAAAAAAGAACTTAAGGTTTATATGACCAGAAAATGATTTTTGCATTTAAATATTCCAAATAAACAGTATATAATTTAATACTTAACAAAGAAGCAAATGACAGACTGAGGGGACTTTAATTCCACAAACAAAACTAATCTGGGATTGAATATATTCTGAATTCAGTTGGAAGAATATACTTTATTATCTATTATTTTTTGTTTCTGTGTTTTTCTTCTTAAGGCTTATATGTCTTCCAAGCTGAAAATAAGACTGAGCTCTTCCAGTAATCTGGCTCCAGTACCAAGATCAAATATGAGGACATCTCCTCAACAAAAGCCAAGCAGACTATGTTGGAACCAAAGCAACAGGACTGTGTGGATGAGGCATAGGTAACCCATCCCTAGGAAATTTATTATACAAATTTTTGGCTTTATTTCACTAGGTAGTCACTTAGGATGTGTAACAGCCATTTTCAGAGTCTTCTGTTAATTTATACTAAATGTTCAAAAGGAGATACGTTTTTATCCCATTCTTACCAGATTTCTTTACATGGACATGTTTCTTTGGCACTTTGGCTAAAAGAAGAAGATATAAGGATTTCAATTATTCTACAATTTGAACATGTATAATCCATATCCATGTCCAATATCATGTTCTGCAGTTGTAAAAGAAAGAAAACATTTACATACTGACCTATTTCTATTGGCTTTTCTTTTTTATGTGTTTCTAGGATGTAAGAAGAAGAACAGAAAATGATTTCTCCATCAGAGTCTATAAGAGTGTGCTTATTCCATATATTCCATATCATTATTGAAATGATAAACCAAGATCACAGTTAATTAGTCTTGTGATTTCATAATTAAAACAAAGTAGGGATTAAGTGGCTCTTATTTTCTTCCTGTTGTATATATGCTGTTTATTTTTGTTATTGCTGAATATTCTCCAAATTTAAGTAGCCAATCAGATATCATCAAAATTGTTTCTTTCTTCCAATTCTGTGCAAAATTTATTCTCATTGCCATGAGAATACACACACACACACACACTGGGATTATATCTCGTAAAAAAAGGTGCAATTTCATTTCAAATTTAATTTCTGAACTTTTCTGCATTGTACTATGTATATCTTTCCAGTAGTTTTGAGGGTTTTTTTACATATTCATCAAATATAAAATTTCTGTTTCATGGCATTTACAACATTTATTATTATATGATATATGACTGAACTATATGGACATAAATCGATGGAGTTGTGTACCATATGTAAAACATTTTATACCAATTTTCTTTTAGGCTGTGACTTGAAGTAGATTTTATGGATTTAATCCATAATTCTTCTCGTTGTGTAGTGATTGTTTCTTTGAAATTTTGCATCCATTTTATCATAAGGTTTTATTTTATTTTTCTTGTCTCCATGTCATATCTAAGTAGGAATTTGTATATGTGCTCCTAACAAATGGTATTTGTTTTAAATTGGCACTTCACTTAAAATCAGACTGTTCTATGTTAAATTATGGCAAGAGTTCAAAAGAGATCTCAGAAGATGGAAGAATGTAAGGCCACTTTGATCAGGATCAATTGTAATTGTTAACATAAAATTATTACCCAAGACCAATTATTTATTCCAAATGGCATCAGAGAGTTGTAAATCTCAGGGAGAACCTTACAAAAATACCAAGAAATAGTCAGCAAATTTATTATATGAAGTGGGAAAAGTCCCGTAGTTAAATTAAAAATGTTCAAGATTCAAAAGAGGTGGTTTTGTTCTTCAAAATTTATATTAAATCAGAAAGCAAGTTGCTTGTCATGGGTAACAGAGTGAATAAAACTCTTGATTAGTAGAATGTTAATGGACTGAAAAATATACATAGTACAATGGATATTTATGAGACACAAAGGAGGATGAACATTTAAATGGACATATTATCAATAAAGTTTGATAGAAGCATGGAATTCTATAAGGAAAATAATAAGCCCATTAGATAGACTTGTTAGTGTGCCCTTTAAATGTCTTTCATACTGGAGATAATTACAGTAGGAAAAATGTAATTACATATGCAGACATGGTCCATCCAGACTCAGTGAATGGATTGAAGAGATAGCAAGAATTATTCAGTGAAGACCAGAATATGGATGATTTTGAGGCAGAGGATAGGGGGCTGTAGGGATTAGTCCTAAGTAACTCACAGGAACAAGATGTAGTCTATTTTTCATGTCATTTTATTTCATTACTCAATGTCTTCTTCTATGGCATGCTCACATCAACAATCTTGTATGAATTAATACGAAGTATTCAAAACAGAAAGTGTAATTTGGAAGGGGGAAAAAAACCCAGGTCTTACCAGATTCTTTCACATGTGCACCCTTCTTTGACCAGTCTGCAAAAATAAAAGAGTAAAAGGATTATGATAATTTTTCCAATAGCATACTATATGAATATGTTTCTGGGAAGCAGAGGTGAGAAAATGGGATGTAGTTTCCTATTTCTATCAGCTTTTCTTTCTTGTAGGGTTCTGGAAGGTAACAGGAAAACAAGGGCATCATTTCTGCCCTTGAAAGTTCTTCGTAAGCAGTGTAGCACTTCTACACTGACCAGAAAATAAAATGATAGACTGGGGTCACTTACAGACGGTGAGCTTACTCATTCCCCAATTAAGACTTTGAAAGGGCAGTTAGTCTGTTTTATTATAAGAGAGAAGTAGAAAGGACATGTTTTGCTTTTTTGTAAATGTACAGTGCTCATAGAGAACCAAGGATGAATCAGATGCTGCCTTTGAAGAAATGACAGCTAACTATTGTTTGTCTGCCAGCAAACAAGAAATGAATGTCTTGTCCTACCCACTCACTTTCAAGAACCTCTTCCCCTCCCCCCAGCAAAAAATAAATAAAATAAAAATAAACCAAAAATCTATTGCCATGGAGGCAAATCACCTATAGAGAGATATATAGGCCCTTCTCCTTTGGATCTAAACAGACAAGTCATGTGCAAGGAAACCAAGCTAATAAATTAGTGTTTATTTAAAAGATGTATATTGTTGCCCATTTAAGCAACTCTGGAGAGCTTACAAGAACCAATTAATATTAAATGAATATGCATGTCAGAATATCCTAAAAAGGGAGAAATGACTCATCGGCATTTCAAAAGACCACATAGGGAACAAAGTACCATTATATATGCAAATTTTCTACAGTTTAATCATATATGGCAATGATGGCAAACCTTTTAGAGACTGAGTGCCCAAACTGCAACCCAAAACTCACATATTCATCGTCGGGCGCCGAGTGGGCGTGGCCCATTGGGTGGGCGTGGCCCATTGGGTGAGTGTGGCCCATTGGGTGGGCGTGGCTGCGGTGGTAACAGCAGACTGGGTTGGACTAAAAAGTTCAATCAATCAATTCCAACTTTGCAAGATCTTTTTTTCCCGCGAGAAGTTGAAATTGACTGATTGATTGAACCTTTTTTTTTTTTTTGCACATGGCGGCGGAGGCCTAAAGCGAAAAGGTTTTATAAAACCCAGCTGAAGGCCTAGGACTGGGGCAACGTGCCATAGGTTCGCCACCACTGATATATGGCAAAATCATGCATTGAATCAATGAGAAATGGACACATGGAGCTATGTATGTTTATGTACTATAATTACCCCAATATTGATATCTGAGATAAACTTTTCTATTTATCTGTTGGTTTCCTTTATTCATTAGACACAGAATTATTATTTCATAACAACTTGGTGTTAGAAATGGAATCAGAAACAGTGATTGATAAGTAGTTGGGGAAACAGGATCTGGCATCCTGGCATGAAGCCGCTAACAATGGCATCAGTGGATTGCTCAATCCAATTTTGCATTGCATCTGCCCTGTCAAGAAATGGCCTTAGGCTATGAAATTCTTAATTTTATTCTACCGTCTACAGACAGAAAAATAATATTTGCCCATATAAATAATGTCTTAATGTACACGGACGCCTTGCTACTATTGCAACACAGTTCAGTGTTACATTAGTAATCATATGATTAAGTGTTTGGATTAACGTTATAAATAATATATTAATCATATTATGTGACTGCATGTGGTAGAATGCACTAAGCATTTTATTATCTTTAGTTGTTGCTGTATTAATTAACATTTTCTCCATGATTTACTCAGCAGTGACTACCTAAGCATAACTAGATATAATGGAGGTTATCTAACATTACTTCCTGACTTCTACTACATTCTCTTCACTCCATTATTCATGGGGGAGAAAGAGCCCCTCTCTTTTCCAGTAGAACTAAGGGGAATGAGGCAAGTGGTTTTGAACAACCCTACCTCTCTCCTTTAACAAACTTCTTATAACTAAATAGGATATATTCTGCCTCGTTTCCTGACACAGAAGCATGGGCCACAGAATATCCAACATTCGCTGAAGCTACTTGAAAAGGCAGTGGTGGTGTGTAATAACAAAGATCACTCATACGGTTGATAGCGCAGGAAGGAAAGGAAAGTTGGCAGAAGAGGGTGGGGACCAGCCCATCTGCTGTTTGGGGAATATTTAGAAGATCAACTCCCCAAATGTCAATCTCAGGTGGTGAGACAATCAAGCCTTCTTGTGAAAGACCTAGGCTTGCTATCAATTAACAGCAAGACAAGAAGTGAAAGGATTTTCTAAAGCACAGCATTGTCTCTAGAGTAGCTTGACTAGAAAATGACAGAATAAACATATTTTATGTTTCCTTTAAAGGAAGAGTTCATTGTCAAGACTATGAAATCCCACATAGCTTAAAGTTAAAAATCTCATCAGTGTTACTTCTACATTAAGACGTTTTCTCATCAGCCTGCAGATTGCTTCTTGTAGCTAGCTTGCTCCCCCTGCCTGATTCATGCAGAAGTCTCAATATCCATGAATCAGTTTTACTGTACTCGGTATTGCAGTTGTAAAGTTTGAAACTTGTGATCTCAATAGATGGTTACAAGGAGCTTATAGTAGATCATAGGAGGAATAGATCAGATAATCAGATATTCAGCCCCTGATCATCAGCAGAGACCATGTGGAGCGGATGGTCAGCTTTAGGATTCTGGGTGTTACCATAAAGAAGGACCTGACCTGGAATGCTCATGTTATAGCATTGGTTAAGAAGACGCAGCAGAGATTATGAAAAACTGCTGGTGACCTTCTATCATTGCTCCAAGAGAGCATTCTAACCTATTTCATTTGTGTTCGGTTTGCCAACTGCACAGTACTATAGATAGGAAAGCGCTCCAGAGGGTCATTACCATCGCCCAGAGGATTATTGGCTGCCCTCGCCTCCCCCCCCCAGACAAACTGTACAATTCCCACTGTCTTAGGAAAGCTCAAAACATTCTTAAAGACTCATCATTCCTTTTTTTGAACTATTACCATCTGACAGACGGTACAGGATAATAAAAACAAAGAAAAATAGGCTGAAAAATAGTTTTTATCCCAGACCTGTAACCATATTAAATATAGTAGTATTTAATATGGTTACAGGTCTGGGATAAAAACTATTTTTATAGTATAGTGCAACACTGAAGTGCAATATTAGGGGCAGCGCAATGGTGAATTGAATGTGAAGGATGTGTGTATATAATGTATGGTTTTTTTAACTTGTGCTTTTTACTTGTGTGTAGTGTGCACTGTGGATAGCACTTAATTTCATTGTGGGATACACAATGACAATAAAGATATTCTATTGTATTCTATTATTTCAATTGATTTGATTATGCAAATGGGTACTTCTAATAAGTAGAACTATAGTAGAAGGAGAGTACTTTGAGGTAAGAACTGAGCAGTTATGCCCAACTTTTCAAGAATGTTAGTGCTCCAAACATGAATTGGTGCACCAGCACAATCCTTTCCCCTTGCCTTTTGCTTTTTTAGAAACAACTATATTAGAAGTACCATAAAAAGACATTTAATGGACTTTAGTTATTGTCATATAAATAGTAATGTCCAAGGGCTCTAGAATCATCCAGACAGTTTATAGTGTGTCAAAATATTCTGAAAATTGCTATTGATGCATATATGTGTCATCCAGAAAGTGGAAAGAATTAAAATCTATTTATAACTATTGTCAAGATGATTGGAAGCTGCTTCTTTATAATCCTTATTTTCCTTTTCTTCTTTTCTATTGTCTTTTCTTTTTTTCACTATTTACTATTTTTATTGATTATTTTATTTTGTGGTTTTAGCTTTGTTAAGAATTTATTCAATAAAAATTAAAGTATATACAGTATACTACATGTATTTTTCTCCATAACTTTTACCCTGTTAATACAGCAAATATACATGNTATTACTACATAGTTTCAACAAAAAGCTCTGTATTTTATTACAATTTTTTTTCAGGCCATAAATTAATTTTTTAGAGTAATTCAGCCTCATAGCATTTTCAGCGATTGTTGTAATGTTGATATCAACAATTTGTGGAAAAAACAATCAAAATATTATTCTGATGAATATTGCAAGTTTGTTTCAGCAGATGGCGGCATGAAACCTATTTTTCAGGGAAACAAGCATAATTGGGCCTGGTTATTAAATATTAAATATTTCAGGGAGGTGGGGAGACTGGGAATGTTTAAAAAAATCTGAAAAAAGTAGATTTGTTTTTAAGAACTAATAATTACTTTATAATGCCATTTTTGTTAATGGGTGTCATCATTCTGCAGAGTGACGAATGTCCTCCCGTGAATGCATTTCAGGTTGATATTCTTTATCAAAATGATAAATAAAGATTTATAGATTGTGAAGACTATATTTGAAGTCATCTGCAATGATCTGATTCACTGTTATCAGAGGAAAACTTTGCAAAATTATTTCCTTGTGGGACTATGAAATAATCTGTTGCCTTAGGATACGGAAATTATATTATCCCTTCAGCATCTGTTTCCTCCTTCCACTTACTCGATACAGATTAAAAAAGGATAAGATGTTCCATTTAACTGGAGTCATCTATAGTTGTGGGGTACAGAATCAAAACCAAAAACTATTGCTGAAAAATATTCTTTTCTTTTTACTTTCTGTCCCCTCCCTCCTCTTTAAAAAAAAAAGTGGCTAAAGGAGGACACTGATTTGTAGAAGCTAATTCATACCTACAGATTCAACTTTAGAAATAATTTGATCATAATTAAGTATTGGACTGGACTGGAGGCTAAAACATATAAGGAACGGTTGCTGGAATTGGGTATGTCTAGCTTAATGAAGAGAAGGACGAGGGGGGACATGATAGCAGTGTTCCAATATCTCAGGGGCTGCCACAAAGAAGAGGGAGTCGAGCTATTTTCCAAAGCACCTGGAGGCAGGACAAGAAGCAACGGATGAAAACTAATCAAGGAGAGAAGCAACCTAGAACTTCCTGACAGTTAGAACAATTAACCAGTGGAACAACCTGCCTCCAGAAGCGGTGAATGCACCAACACTGGAAGTTTTTAAGAAGAAACTGGACAGCCATTTGTCCAAAATGGTATAGGGTTTCCTGCCTGAGCAGGGGGTTGGACTAGATGACCTCCAAGGTCCCTTCCAACTTTATCATCATCATCATCATTATTATTATTATTATTATTATTATTATTAGTAGTAGTAGTAGTAGTAGTAGTAGTAGTAGTAGTAGTAGTAAAAATACCAAGTGTCTTAACTATAATGGGGACATCTGTAACCAGGTAACCCATGTTGTTGGTTTTTCCACAAAAACAACTAAAGGATGGCCATATAACAACTCATTAAATATGGGATGATCTTCTGTAAAATGGAACAAACCTGCTGTAAGTCAATAAAAAAAAAATGTTTTTTTTTCCAAAAATAATGTAGCTGCCTTGGCCCTTTGCAGTAAGGCTTTCATCTGTGTCGATATTTGCAAATGGAGCCAAGTATTTTACAGAAATGCAGTGAATATCCGCTGAGCTTGCCTTCCGAAAGCAGCCGTACTTGTGCATGGCCCTTGTTTCAAGAAATTTCACACTCAGCAATCACACTCATGTTCTGTTAGGAAAAGCTTTCCTTCAGAGATTTGCAAGGTTTACACAGTGCAGTGTAGTGTGCTTAGTTTTGATTTAACACAATGAGTGAATCCAATTATTGTGGCTTGTAAATGATTATGTATGGTTTTGTCAGTTGGCAGGACAGAACCTACTACACAGTATTATTTTTATTTTCAGAGAACAAAAAGTGTCCATACACATTTGAACCAACAGATGGCGCTCTGGTGCAATGAAATAATAACAAAAAAAAATGCATGCTGCTCAAAAGAGTGATTAAATAATCCTGAAAACAAAGCAAAAGAAAATAATTGAATTATTTACCTGGTGCTGCCACTTTTACAGAAACTGGCTTGGGGGATGCCGGAGTTTTTGCTGGCTCTTGAAATGAAAACAAATTAAAGCAGTCGTAACAAGGCATGCCATAACAAAAATAAATAAATA